CCCCATATATTATCTGTTTAAAACCTTAGATAAGGGCAGCCCTGGTGATGCAGTGGTTTGGCGCCGCCTGCAGCCTGGGTGTGATCCTGGAGGCCCGGGGTCGAGTCCCACATCGGGCTCCCTGCGTGGAGCCTGCTTCTCCCTCTGTCTGTGTCTCTGCCCCTCTCTCTGTGTCTATGAATAAATAAAAATCTTAAAAAAAAACTTAAATAAGGTTATTTAATAAAACTGAATCCTACGTAAAGCTTATTACACTCCTCTGCTTTCAAAATTTTCATTGTATTTGATGTACTTTTTGTGTACATGTTTTCATTTCTTTATATACATTTTTACTGTAGAAAAATAAATAAAATTTACCATTTTTGCCTTTTTTTCATATTTGCTAAGAGATTTCCTCCCCAGTTTTATTGAGATACAGTTGACATATAACATTGTATTACTTTTATTTACTTCATTTGTTTATTTATTTGAAGAAATCTGTACGTCAACATGGGGCTCACACTCAAGACCCTGAGATCAAGAGTTGCACACCAGGGTGCCTGTGTGGCACCATTGGTTAAGCGTCTGACTGTTGGTTTTGGCTCAGGCCCTGATTTCAGGGTCATGGGATCCAGCCTGGAGTGGGCTCTGCACTCAGTGCAGACTCTTCTTGAGATTGTCCCTCTCCCTCTGCCCCTCCTGCTCGTGCTCTGTGTGTGTCTCTCTCTAAAATAAATAAATAAATAAATAAATAAATAAATAAATAAATAAATAAATAAATAAATCGTAAAAGAAAAGAGTTGTACACTCTACCAACTGAGCCAGCCAAGTAGCCAGGGTATTAGTTTTAAGTGTACAGCATAATGATTTAATAAATGTATAAATTTCAATTAAGATTTGTAATCTTGGGCAACTTGGATGGCTCAGCGGTTTAGCACCGCTTTCAGCCCAGGGTGTGATCCTAGAGACCCAGGATCGAGTCCCACGTTGGGCTCCCTGCATGGGGCCTGCTTCTCCCTCTGCCTATGTCTTTGCTTCTCTCTGTGTCTCTCATGAATAAGTAAATAAAATCTTTGGAAAAAAACAAAGATTTATAATCTCTGCACCCAGTGCCCAGTGTGGGGGCTTGAACTCACAACATGGAGATCAAGAGTTATATGCTCTACTGACTAAGCCAGCTAGGCGGCCCTCAAATGTATCTAATGTTTGAATGGGAAAAACAGACATCAGGGGCACCTGGGTAGCTCAGTTGGTTGAGCATCTGCCTTTGGCTTGGGTCAGGGCTCCGGCTCTATCCCAGGACTCTGGGATAGAGCCCCTTGTTGGGCTGCCTGCTCAGCGGGGAGTCTGCTTCTCCCTCTCCCTCTGCTGCTCCCCCTGCTTGTGCTCTCTTGCTATCTCTCTGTCAGGTAAATAAATAAAATCTTTTTTTAAAGAAGAAATACAAACATCAAAAAATATTAAAAGGCATCATCTTTCTGTATGCTAACACGAGGATCTTTGCAGAGCCCCTCCCCAGTGAAACTGGTGAAAGGTATTTTTTTTAAAGATTTTGTTTATTCATGAGAGACACACAGAGAGAGGCAGAAACATAGACAAAGGGAGAAACAGGCTCGATCCCAGAACCCCAGGATCACGCCCTGAGCTGAAGGCAGATGCTCAACCACTGAGCCACCCAGGTGTCCCTGAAAAGCATTAAAATAACAACCATGTAATGTCTCTGGAAGTGGTCCTAAGGGCACTTAGGAATGAGGAAGAAAGTATTCAAGAAAATCTATTAGAAAATTCAGTGGGATAGTGAGTGTTTCTGGTGTTTATTATCTTTTACCTTCCTTCCTTCCACCAGTTCAGTGACATGGAAACTCCACTCCAGACTGGTGCAACCAGGCACATAAGGTTTGTTCATCCTGAGTCCCCAGTGTGTGTGTGTGTGTGTGTGTGATTATTATCTCAGGAGGGGCAACACCTCAGCATTTCTTGTCACTAGGCTATTTGAGGCAAGTGCAGCTCTTCAAAGAGAGAATAACTGAGTATTTCCAAAATCATGGAGAGGCTCTCATCACCAGATTCAAGAATTTGAAGGAATCTCAAATAGGATAAATGACAAGAAATCCACACTGAGACACATCGTATAAAATTGCAAAATGGCAAATAAAAAATAATGATTTTTAGGGGATCCCTGGGTAGCTCAGCAGTTTAGCGTCTGCCTTTGGCCCAGGGCGCGATCCTGGAGTCCCTGGATCGAGTCCCACGTCGGGCTCCCGGCATGGAGCCTGCTCCTCCCTCTGCCTGTGTCTCTGCCTCTCTTTCTCTATCATGAATAAATAAATAAAATCTTTAAAAAAATAATGATTTTTAGCGGAAACCAGAAAGAAGAGATCACAAGAAAATAGCATTTTAAAAATATATTATTTACTTATTTATTTGACAGAGAGACCACAAGCATGGGAAGCAGCCAAAGGAGAAGCAAGCCCCACCCCTCACTGAGCAGGAAGCAGGATGTGGGGTTCCATCCCAGGACCCTGGGATCATGACCTGAGCCACAGAGGTGTCCCAAGAAATAGCATTTTGATTGAGACCCTGATCCTTCCCCGCCTCCCCTTAGAATTTAAAAAAATTTTTTTTCAATTTTTTTATTCATTTATGATAGTCACACACAGAGAGAGAGAGAGGCAGAGACACAGGCGGAGGGAGAAGCAGGCTCCATGCACCGGGAGCCCGACGTGGGATTCGATCCCGGGTCTCCAGGATCGCGCCCCGGGCCAAAGGCAGGCGCCAAACCGCTGCGCCACCCAGGGATCCTCCCTTAGAATTTTAAACATACTTTTAAATTTAGTACTGGGGCTAAGAGGCAGCAAGGGTACTAGAGCAAGAGTCTGGGATTAAAAGTATGTAAGGAAGTGGGGTGAGTCCAGCGGTTGGGACTAGGAGGCAGCCACCTGCTAGGGAGGGTCAGCTTCAAAGTGTCCATCCAGGGTGGCCTCCGCCTGTCCCTTTTCCTAGTCCAACACCTGCAACCTCGAGCCCTCTGCCTCTCTAGGGTCATGAATGAAAGCCCTGGACCAGACCGCGGACGAAGACGAATGGGCACAGGGGATTGCTTATTCGCTACGCCCCGCCCAGCTCAGAGCCTACAGCCCGCGATGGCTGGGTCCCTTGTGCCTGCTGCGGCCAGGCCACTTCCTTTGTCGCCCTCACCTCCAGTAGCTTCTTCTCTGCTCGGGGGCCGCCGCAGCAGCCACAGCATCCGTGCAAACAGCATCTGGTCCTCGCCACCCGCCCCGGGGGCTCCTACAGAAGCAGAGGGCGAGGTGGCCCGGCTCCCCACATTCCCGCCGCCTACTTAACAGTGACAATGTTAAGATCCTACTTAACAGTGACTGTGGAAGCCACAAGCCGAATATGTTCAGTGGGCTAAGAGAAATAACTGTCAACTTTTTTTCTTTTTTTTTAAGTAGGCTTGATGCTGGACGTGGAGCCCAATATGGGGCTGGACCTCACCTTCCTGAGATCAAGACTTGACCTGAGATCAAGAGTCCAACGCTTAACAGAATGTGCCACCCAGGCGCCCTGATTATCTTTCAAGAACCAGGGTGACGCTCAGGGCTGGCTCAGTCTGTAGAGCATGGGACCCTTGGTCACCTTACCAGTCCTGAGTTGGATGGATTCCCATGTTCAGTGTAGAGTGTATTTTATTTATTCATTATTATTATTTTTATTATTAGATTTTATTGATGTATTCATGAGAGATACAGAGAAAGAGAGAGGCAGAGGCACAGGCAGAGGTAGAAGCAGGTTTCCTGCAAGGAACCTGATGTAGGACTGGATCCTGGGATTCCAGTATCACACCCTGAGCCCAAGGCAGAGGCTCAGCCACTGAACCACCTAGGCATCCCTGTGTAGAGGCTTTAAAAGTACAATATAAGTTATAAGCGACATGATACAGAGTGATAGAGGTGCAACATTATTGAGACTGGCGGAGTCAGGAGCAAGTGACAAAATATAAGTCAGCCATGGGAAAATCAGAAAGTATGGCAGACAAAGACAATAGCAAGTGCAAAGGCCCTGAGGTGGAATCTCATGGTTGCGCATTTTCCAGACTTGGCCTCAGTGAAGACTCCTGCCACCCTGAAAAGTTGGCATCATTAGCCTAAGGCTCCTTGAGGGTCAGAATCTTGTTCAGATCAGCACAATTTAGGCCAGTGGGCCACTGAGAGGAAGGATTCTGGGGCAATGGCGCCCTCTGCTGGCTGGGATAGATATCCGCTCCATTTTCAACAATAACAGTTCTTATATAATACTTGGTTATTAGTGGAACATAGCTAGTGCTCAATAAATCCATGACCCAGCCTCTCATCCCTGTGCAGCACAAAGGCTGGCACTAGTAGGGATGTATATACGTAGGTCTTCACTGAATAAATGAATGAATTAATGTGGTTAGGTTCTGGGTCTCAATCTGTAAATCTGGCATTCTTTCTCTCATTGTATAAATCAATGTATATTCAGCATGTACTGGGTGCTAGGTGCTGTTCTAAATTCTTGGGACAAATTAATGGAGAAGATAGACAAAAGCCTGTGCAAGGCATCTTATTAAGATCTCTATATGCATGCTTCTCAGTCTTCACATAGTTTTTATTTTTTTAAATTTATTTATATTTATATTTTTACTTTTTGTTAAAAGATTTGAAGCAATCGCAACACCCAAGGTGGGGCTTGAAACTAAAACCCCGAGATCCAGTGGCATGATTTACCGACTGAAGCCAAGCCAGGCGCCCTTTAACAACGTTTTTAATACCGAAACACAATTATTCGCCCCATTTTATACGGGAGAAAAATGATCGCTTAGAGAGAGGCTTTGATTGTAGAGCAGGCAAGTGGCCGGGGTGGGGTTCGAACCCATAGCGATATTTATTTTTCCCCGACAACACGCAGCGGGCGGGAGCGAACTGGGCGCTCCGCGGGGACGAGCGCGCCGGCGTCTGTTGCCATGGTTCCCCCACTCTCTTCCGCTGCTGCAGCACTCGCCCGCGTCACGTGACTTCAATCAACATGGCGCCGCCCAGGGTGCTGCAGTGTCCACGTGGTTCCGTCAGCTAAGATGGCGGCAGCAGTAAACCCAACGTCTCTAGAGTCGGCCCCGCGCATCATGCGGCTGGTGGCCGAGTGCAGCCGATCCAGGGCCCGGGCAGGAGAGCTGAGGCTGCCGCACGGGCCGGTAGCCACTCCGGTGTTCATGCCAGTGGGCACGCAGGCCACTATGAAGGGCATCACGGCCGAGCAACTGGACGCGCTGGGCTGCCGCATCTGCCTGGGCAACACCTACCATCTGGGTCTGAGGCCGGTGGGTGGGTTCTGCCTTGTTGGGGCGGCGGCAGAGAGTGGGGAGTACGGGCTCCTCCGAGACACGGGCCTCCAAGTCAATCCACAAACACCTACCGAGTGACCCTGGTGGCCCGGGCCTTGTGTTGGGCGTGAGGGAGCGGCGGGGACCCGAGCTGGCCAGCTCTGTCCTCCAACATGAGCCCTCAGGGTAGCGCTCGCCCCTAACCTGATCCTTTCTTCCGCTAACCCAGGGACCCGAGCTGATCCAGAAAGCCCACGGTCTCCACGGCTTCATGAACTGGCCCCACAATCTGCTGACGGTAAGGTGGCATCGGGGCCGGGGTCCCAGGGCACTTGTCAGAGGTGGAGGTTCTCCAGTCCCACCCCTCTGACCGCCCCGCGGTGGGATTTCCCCCAGGACAGCGGCGGCTTCCAGATGGTGTCTCTGGTGTCCCTGTCCGAGGTGACGGAGGAGGGCGTCCGCTTCCGCTCCCCCTACGACGGCGACGAGACCCTCCTGAGCCCGGAGAAGTCCGTGGAGATCCAGAACGCTTTAGGTGAGCGAATCTGGGGCGGCCTCCCCTTCCCTTGCCTCTAGAGGGTGGAGGTGAGGCGGGCGCTTTCCTTACTTGCTGCTGGGCTTTGGGTAGGTCACTCCCCTGCCTGAGCTTCACACAAGCGGACTTGAATGGGGATAGTTCACAGGAATAATGACGTAATGTTTGTAAATCTCTTAACACAGTGCCTGGCGTAGCTTTTGTTATGATTTTATTGCTATTATTTCTCCTAAATGACAAATTAGCTCGGCCAAGATATGTTGAAATTATGGAAGCACCAAAGGGGGATTGGGGAAGCTTTAGGTCCCTCGCATTTCCATCAGTACCCGCCCCCCCCCCCCCCCGCCATTCCTTGGTAAAGACAATGAACGTTTCTCTTTATTATATATAGTACACATGTAGTTTCTAGCTCTACCCCCTTCCCTTTTTCCTTTTTTTTTTAAATGATTTTATTTATTTGACAGAGCTCGCAGAAGTGTGAAAGCAGGGGGAGAGGGAGGGAGAGCTAGAGAAGCAAGTTCCCTGCTGAACAGGGAGCCCAATGGGGGTTGGATCCCAGAACCCAGGAATCATGTCCTGAACCCAAGGCAGATGCTTAACTGACTGATCCAGGGGCCCCTCTTCCTTTTTTTTTTTTTTTTTTTTGTTAAAGATTTTAATTATTTGAGAGGGTGGAGGGAGGGGCAGAGGGAGAAGCCGAGGATCCCAAGCACTGAGGAAGGGCCAAGGGCCGGATGTGGTTTTGGAGGTGGGTCTGGATCTCCCCACCCTTGAGATCATGACCTGAATGGAAATCAGGAGTCTGGGGTTTAACTGACTGAGCCACGCAGGCACTGTCCTTTTTTTTTTTTTTTTTTTTTTTTTTTTTTTTTTTTTTTTAAAGAAATTTGCTCCTTGAAGAAACGAGTTCCTTTCCCCTGTAGTGTGTCACAGGGACTGACTTTTGCTGGCCACTTCTCCATAGTGTTGTGTAACAGTTTTCCTCTGCCTTCTGGGTTTACTTAGTTGGTGGGGGTCAGAGTTCAAGGTTCTTTCCTTTGGCAAGAGGGCTTCACAACATGTATATTTCCATCAGGAAGCCCCTAATGTCTGCTGGTGTCTCCCAGTAAACCATCAACACTCTGCCTGGAACTCTCATGCCATTAGGAGTTCCAAAGTGGTAATATTCTTTCTTCATTCATCAGCCAGGTTATTTCTGTAAAGACAAATGTCCCTCACCTACCCTTGGGAGACCAGCTTGTTTAATTCATATAGGAAAAGTGGGATTCATTCCTTTCCTCATTTACTGGTTTTCATGGATTAATTGCTTAGCATCTTCCAGCAGTGATGAATGAATCTTTTCATTCAGTTTTTCTAGGATCACCATGATATCATGGCTTTGTTTATTTATTAAATTGCCCCATCTTGGGTTTGTGTGGTGCACTGTGTGTGCTTTTTTCCTGTAATGATGCATCTTGGCAATATTCCCTGGGCGTTTCTAACATGTATAAATCCACAGCCCCTAATCTGAAATTCTTCAGGTCAGTTCAGAGTTGTAATATTTTATAAAAATAATGTAGTATACATAGCATCCTAGAAGGTCTGGGGCAGTACCCTGTTAAATGTTACTTTTTCTTTTTTCCGTTAAAAAATATTGTAGGGCAGCCTGGGTGGCTCAGTGGTTTAGTGCCGCCTTGGGTCCAGGGTGTGGTCCTGGAGACCTGGAACTGAGTCCCGTGTCCGGCTCCCTGCATGGAGCCTGCTTCTCCCTCTGCCTGTGTCTTTGCCTCTCTCTCTCTCTCTCTCTCTCTCTCTGTGTGTGTCTCTCATGAATAAATAAATAAAATCTTAAAAAAAAATTGTGGTGGGGCACCTGGGTGACTCAGTGGTTGAACGTCTGCCTTTGGCTCAGGTTGTGATCCCGGGGTCCTGAGATCGAGTCCCATATCAGGCTTCCCGCAGGGAACCTGCTTCTCCCTCTGCCTAGGTCTCTGTCTCTCTCTGTTTCTCATGAATGAATAAATAAAATCTTTTAAAAAAAACTGTGGCAAAATACATGTCACATAAAATTTACCATTAAAAATATTTAACCCTTTTTACTCATTTTTATTTTTCACTTTTTTTAAAAAAAATTTACTTATTTATGATAGTCACACAGAGAGAGAGAGAGAGGCAGAGACACAGGCAGAGGGAGAAGCAGGCTCCATGCACCGGGAGCCCGATGTGGGATTCAATCCCGGGTCTCCAGGATCGTGCCCTAGGCCAAAGGCAGGCGCCAAACCGCTGCGCCACCCAGGGATCCCTATTTTTCACTTTTTAAATTTACTTATTTCTTTAAGTAGGTGCCATGCCCAATGTGGGGTTTGAACTTGACTGCGAGACCCAGAGTGGCATGCTCTACTGACTGAGCCAGCCAGGCACCCCTACTATAACCATGTTTAAGTGTCCAAGTTAGTGGCATTATGCACATTTGCATTGTTGTTCAACCATCACCACCATCCCTCTCCAGAACTCTTCATCTTGTGAAACTGAAACTCTGTTCGCATTAAACACTAACTCTCCATCCCTCTCCACCAGCCTCTGGCTCCTGTTACCTACTTCCTGTCTCTATGAATTTGACATTTCTAGGGACCTTATATAAATGGAATCATACAGTATTTGTCTTTTTGTGTGTGGCTTATTTCACTGAGCATAGTGGCCACAAAGTTGTAGTATATGTTAAAATTTTCTTCCCCCCCCCTTTTTTTTTAATTTTCTTTTTAAGACTGAATAAGTCACCGGCTAAATTGGATTTTATGAAAGATTATAACTGTTTTGGATTTTGCTGCCAAATTAGGTATGCCATAAGCATAAGATAAAGTCTTTGATTTTAAGAAACTTCTTGATTTTAGAATTGAGGGAAAGGAATGTTCTGTCAAGGGTTGGACCATGATTTATTTAGCCAGTTCCCTGTTGATGGTCACTTGGGCTTCCATCATGCTATTGCCTGCTATACCATGGAGGATCACTTTGTAGACACAACATTTTGTTTTTAAAAGGTAAATTTGCAGAAGTGGAAGTTTACTCTATGTGCCTGGGCAGGGTTTTAGCTGGATGAGGCAAGATCAAATGGGTATCTTTAAAAGCTCCCTCTGGTTGTTGTATAAACAGACTGGGGGGCTGTGTGGGAGTCAGCAAGACCCAGGGAGGAACTTCTTGAGTCCTGATTGTCCCCAACAGGAAGTGAAACCTTTCCTAGTGATGGTGCTTCTGTCTTACCCCCCACTCCCCCCAGGCTCAGACATCATCATGCAACTGGATGATGTGGTCAGCAGCACTGTGACGGGGCCACGTGTGGAGGAGGCCATGTACAGGTGTGTGTGTGTTTGTATATTGTGGGAGGGGATCCTAATCCTATAGCTTTGTCTCCCTACCCGAGGGCTCATGACTGGGGTCCTCTTACAGGTCAATTCGCTGGCTGGACCGTTGCATTGCAGCCCATCAGCAGCCAGACAAGCAAAACCTCTTTGCCATCATCCAGGGTGGGCTAGACGCAGACCTCCGGGCCACCTGCCTCGAAGGTAGAGCCATGTGTTGGTAGATCCAGGGCTTGTCCATCACTGAGGGCCCCACCTGGGCCTGTCACGTGATGGTGCTGATGGTGGTTGTTGATGGGTGGAAGGAATAATCAAAGCAAAGGCCCAGAGGCAGAATGGACTAGAATCTTTGCAGAATGATTGGAAATCCAATAGCTAGCAATTTTGGGGTGTTCACCAGACGCTATGCTGGTACAGATTGACCCATTGAGTTTTTGTAACCATCCTGTAAGGTTACAGAAGGGGAACCTGAAACATAGAGGTGTAAAGTCACTTACCCCAAGCCACGCAGCTTGGATGTTGCAGAGCTGGGAATTGGAGCCTGTTCCTGGGTTATAGAACCTATGGCGTTAACCAATACAGATGCTGCTTCCTCTTCAGGGTCAGGAATGAGGGGTTGGGCTTGGGGCATTGTGCTGACGTTGGAGGCCCTGGGATACCACACTGAGGTACTGGGGAGCCATTGAGGCCTGTTGAGTAGGAAAGTGACAGGGAACAAGGGGCATCATAGAAAAATCCTAGTAGGATAGGAAGCAGAAGGCCCATGGAGACATTGGAGTATTTGCTCAGGGGAAGAGTGACAGGCCCGTATGAAGGACATGGCAATGGAGACAAAAGGGAGGCAGAGATGGGGCTCAAAGGCAATGAGGTGTCATGGGCAAGACTCTGGGTCCTGGCGTTTGGCTGGCAGGATCCATACCTCTGATTTGCTGCCGCATGGCTGTGAGCCCTTGGGCTAGTGGCTTGGCCTCTGAGCCTCACTTTTTTCTCTGTAAAATGGGCACATATCCCTATGTCATAGGGTCGAAGTGAAGATAAACGGGAAAATGTTCAAAGTCTTGTGCCTGCACCTGGCAGGCATCAGTGTGTGCCATTGTGAAGACTGCCCTTGTTGTAATTCCTTTTGTCCTCAAGCTGTGCCCAGCTCCCGGTCTGGTAAGTCTTTTTTATGGAGATCCCCAGTTAGAGATAACATTTCATGTCACAGCCCAGTATATGTGGACATAGATGAAAGCAGAAACCAAGACTTCATGAAACATGATCCTTATATGTGAAACATGTTCTGGTATTCTCTGTTCTCTCATTAAAAAAAAAACAAAACACAAAAAACTACCATGCTAGTCTTACCCTGTAGGATTCATTTCTTGGCCGCCGGGAGGTTGACCAAGAAAAGAATTCTATAATCAGGCCAGCCTGACTATGCTGGTGGTGCTTCTCAAAGTGCTCCAAGCTCACCTGCACCAGCCCCACCTGGGTTTTTTCCCAATGACTGGATTTGAGTCCACTGTAGGGGCGCCCAGGAGGCCACATTTGAACAACTTGTCCCTAGTTGATTCTGCTGCGCATTCCAGCTTCGAAACCTGACCCTTGGACCGGGTCCCTTTTGTGGATACTGTGGCCTCCCCTGGTTGAACTAGGCAACTGGGGCCCAAGACATGGCTGGGTGTGGCAGCTAGACCCGAGTTCAAATCCAGTCTCTGGAATATGCGGCCTCTGGCCAATGTCAAGCTCTGAACACTTGACGGAGCTGCTGAGCTGCCGCCCATTCTCTGCAAATTCTGGAGCCTAATGGCCCATTTTGAATATGCAAACCACTCAGGAATTTGTAGCTAACTCATTTGGTGGCAAGACCAGACCTCTGGTTATTCACCCCAGTTCTTGGGAGTCTCTACATGTTTTGCCGCATAAATGTTTCACTGTTTGAGTACAGGCTGTTATCCAGCATATAGGATGTTTACTGTTCTAAATCTGGAAAATTCTCAGTTTTGAAAACATACCTGGCTTCATCTTAGGTGTCGGCTAAGGGAGCACAGGCTGTGGGCCTCTCCTGAGAATTGAAGGATGAGAGGGGACCTCACACGCAACAGGCACTCAACAAATGATAGCTGAGATCACCAGCAGCCCTTAGACAGACAGACAGACCCCCCCCCCTTTCTTCCTGAGGGACTGTGGAGGTCAGGGCCGGCTCTGCCCTGGGGCTGCAGAGGAGGAGGCATATGTTCTTTTGTCTGGTGGCCCCTCACATTGCCCTGTGCCCCCAGAGATGACCAAGAGGGACGTGCCGGGCTTCGCCATCGGGGGCCTGAGTGGGGGCGAAAGCAAGGGCCAGTTCTGGAGGATGGTGGCTCTGAGCACCTCAAGGCTGCCTAAGGACAAGCCACGATACCTGATGGGGGTCGGGTATGTGGGGGAGAGGCAAACTGGCCCTACCTGCGGGGAGCGGGTTCCTGGGGACTCCTGCCTGGGCTGGCATTGGTGGAAGGACACAGCCCTGCTTGGGAGGGGACCAAAGGAGAACATGGCTTTCCTCTGGGGGTGGTTCAGAGGGAATGTGGCCCAGTCCCTGGGGAGCCAGAGTGTGTGTGTTGGGGGAGACCTGGGTATGTGACCAGGGCATGAGTTTCTCTGCTCCCTCCCCTCCATGACCCTGCCCCCAGCTATGCCACTGATCTGGTTGTCTGCGTGGCTCTTGGATGTGACATGTTCGACTGCGTCTTTCCCACGAGGACTGCGGTGAGGCCCTGGGCAGGGGGCAGACGGGGCAGGGGGTGTTGCAGGGGTGGGCAAAGTGGGGGTGGGGCCAGTGAGCATGAAGACCTAGTTGACCCATCTTCCCTTACTCCACCCTTCCCCCAGCGCTTTGGCTCCGCTTTGGTGCCCACCGGGAACCTGCAGCTGAAGAAGAAGCAGTATGAGAAGGACTTCCGACCCATAGACTCCAACTGTAACTGTCCCACCTGCCAGAAGTAGGGGAAGATGGGCCTGGGGGCTGGGAGAGGGTGTGGAGGGGTGCAGGACTCTGCATGGCTGAGCCTCACCTCCTGTCCACAGGCACAGCCGGGCCTTCCTGCACGCACTGCTCCACAGTGACAACACTGCTGCCCTGCACCACCTCACTGTCCACAATATTGCCTACCAGGTGGGCCTGCAGCCAGGGTGGGCCAGGCAGGGTGTTGGAGGAGGAGGTGGTGGTCGTGGGGGAGGATTCTGGGCCCCCTTGGCTGAGACCTTGGCTGACACCTACCCCCTGCAGCTGCAGCTGATGAGTGCTGTGCGTGCCAGCATTGTGGAGAAGCGCTTCCCTGACTTCGTGCGGGACTTCATGGGCACCATGTATGGGGACCCCACCCTCTGTCCCACCTGGGCCACTGAAGCCCTGGCCTCTGTGGGAATCACACTGCGTTGATCTGGCTTGGGGGAGGGAGGGAATGGGAGGTATTGGAAGGATTTTTAAAAAATTATTATTCTAACTTAGACTATCTGTGCCTTCTTGGGAAGGTGGCCTGTCTCAGTCTTCTTCTTCCTCTGAGTGTCTCTGTGGCCAGTGTCCCCTCCCCCTGTTGATAATAATAAGTAACCACAGCAGCAGCTGATATCTGGAAACTCCCTGGCTCAGCCCAGCATAGAGGATGCACCACAGTGTGGGAGCTGCATCCTTTTCCCTCTGGTTCAAGGCCTCCAGCTGTCCTGAGTGGGGCACCTCTTGTTCCCCCACTTTTCAAAAGTGAGGAAATAGGCATAGAGGGAAATAGCTTCCCCAGGGTCACCACTGAGAAGTAGCAGCCTGGCTCCAGTGCTCATGCTCTTAGCCTTGACTCTTGACCTGTGGCACAATTTTGCTGTCAGTAAACCTGGTGAGGACGGTAGGTGTGATTCAGCCGGTGCTTACACTGTGCCTGGTACTGTTCTAAATGGCTGTTGTCTGTGTTTAATTCTTGCCACCCTATGATACAAGTGTAGTTGCATTCCCCATTTTACAGATAAAGAGGTTTAGAGGAATGACATGAGCAAAAAGGCGCATGACTTAACCTAGATATGGCCAATTACAGAGCTGCTGCTCTGAGAAGATAAGGGTTTTTATATTGAGAAAGTAATCCAAAAGTAGGATCCACTATTCCAATAGCATAAAAATGCAACTACTTTCATCAATGTGTGTATTCTCTCAGAAGTTTTCCATGTGTATATATTTTTCATGAATGTGGGCCTCCTTTACATGTGGCTCTGTATTTTTTTTTTCTCTCAGTATATTTCAAATTGTTAACATGTCGGAACATGAAGACTTCCTGTGTTTCTTACAGTTCTTGCACAGTATTTATTTAACCAGCTCAGAGAAGGAGCTTCTAGGGTGTTTCCAGGTTGCCGTGGTGAAGGCTGCAATGCCACGCCTTGTCTCGGTTGACTTTTTTGCCCATCTCTCTGCGATCGGGGTTTTAGGTCTTGGAGCAGGCATATACCATGGGCCACTCTGCCGTCCTCCTCCCCACTATTTCTATTCCTCCGATACTGCCCCATACTGCCCCATCGGCCCACTTCCCTACCTCCATGGCATCTGACTCCTTATTGGGCTGCTTCTCTGGCCAATCCACGCCCAGGGAATCAAATCACTTCTCATAAAATCCTTCCACCTATCTCCGGCTTTTTTCCCACGAGGTCAAGATTCCTAGTTCCAACACTGCAAAATAGTATCTTTTCAAGGGGAGAGAGGATCCGTTGAGTTCCATTGGGTGCTCCAAGAGGTCACGATGCGCTCAAGTTGAAGAGGTAGGGGAACAACGTTGCAGATGTTAGCCGAGTCAAGACGTGGCGTGAGCGGAGGGTGTTCCTAGGAAAGGGCACAAAATTTGTAAAAGCGTGAAGGTGGGACTTTATAGGAATAAAAGGGAGAGACAAGGATGCAGCGCCAGCCCGCCTCTCCCTAGGAACCACTAACGCCCGACTAATCTTCAAAGTGTATTGCAACCCCGCGCGAAGAGCTGGTTTGCAAGCCCAGGGCCGAGATGCGTTCTGGGACTTGTAGTTTTCTCTAGAGGCCGGAAACGCAGAAGCGATTATCATTACCAGGTCCCACCAAGAGGTGTCGCCCTTTGGTGAGTACGGTGGGCCTTCTTTACTCCAGAAGACACTAATAGACCTACAACAATCACAAGAACGGGAGATTCTTTGATTGACAGCTAAGTTCTCAATCAAAGTCAGGATTCGGAGGTCAACGCCAGTCCTCTTTGGCTTTGTTGGTTGGAGGAACGGAATGATATTTATATAAGCCAATGGGAAATTCTTAGGGAACTAGGTAGTATCAAGTGACAAACCGGAGTCTATGAATCGATCCCTAACGTCATTGGCCCGCACTGTTGACTGGCCTGTCTTCCTGCCAATGAGACTTAGGTTTTCTTTCCGTCAGGGACCTCCCCAAAATGGGCGGGGCCAACAGTGCCTTTTCCCGAAACACCGCCTCCTGGCCTTGACAACTCGCTGCCCCACGCTATTGGCTCTTGCGCAGAAACGACAGTTCTGACGTCCAATGAGCCCGCCGGGAGGTCCCCAGGGGGGAAGGTCTACTCAACCGGAGACCTATGCCTCTCTTTCATTGGCTCCTGGGTACGAGTGGCAGCGGGGCCGGCCAATCGGGGGCGGCATGAAGGCTTTGGGCGCAGCCCCGGGGCCCGGGCGGGAGGTCGCTCGGGTCGGGTGTCGTCTGAGAACCGGATGAGGCGGCGACTGTGAGGCCGAGCCGGGAGCGGGCGTCGCGCCGAGGCCCGGGCGGGCGGGGAGCAACGGCCGCGGACGCCGCGGGGCCGCGTCGTTAAGGGCCGGGGGCAGGCGGGGAGCGCGGGGCGCTCGGGCCGGGGCCGCCGGCGCCATGGGCAACCGCGGGATGGAAGAGCTGATCCCGCTGGTCAACAAGCTGCAGGACGCTTTCAGCTCCATCGGCCAGAGCTGCCACCTGGACCTGCCGCAGATCGCCGTGGTGGGCGGCCAGAGCGCCGGCAAGAGCTCGGTGCTCGAGAACTTCGTAGGCCGGTGAGCGAGCGCGGCGGCGACGGCGGGCGGGCGGCGGCCTAGGGCGCGGAGGGCGGACCGGGAATGGCGCGCCCTGCGCAGCCGGCGTAACTGCGGCGCTTGCGTGCCCGCGACGGGGACGGGGACAGGGAGGCGGGCTCTGTGGGACGCCCCGGGCGGAGGGCTTCCTGCCCGGGCAGGGGAGCCGGCTCGGGCCCTCGGGGCGTCTCACCGGCCGGGGGGCGTGGGCCAGGAAGTGCGGTGGACCGTCGCCGACTCCTCCGTCCCCAGCTTTTCACGGCTGAGCTCTACCGTCTGGTTGCCTGGGGGTCAGAGTTAGGTCCCTCTTCTCTGTCCGAAACCTGCCAGCTAGATACCTATTGATTGGTTCGACCCCTGTGGTCTGGCTGGCTGTTCACTTGTCTGGAGCAGCCCCTGCCGTCTAGTTGGCCGTCGCTCTGTCCTGGATAGAACTCCTTGCCGCCACCATTTGGCTGTCCATCTGTCCAGTCCCTCCGGGCAGCCCCCCGCTGCCTGGCTAGCTGTCTAGGGCGACCTGTGCTGTCTGGCCTCCTCGCAGACTTTCACACTTAGCCGTACCTCTGTTGGGTTACTCTGGCTGGCTTCTGCAGTCTGGCTGGCTGGCTGGACCCTAGGGCCTCTGTTGTCTGGTATTCTTAGGCTGACTCTAAAGCTTGGTCCCTTGCAAATGCTGACTTCTGGCCCAAATTGATCCTTTCTTCTGTCTGTAGAGGTGTCCGGCCTTGTCACAGCCTGCCCTTCAGTGTGCTGGCAGTCTCTGGCTGTCTGGCCCTGCAGTAGTGGGTAGGGGGAGCACGCAGTGGACAAGGGAGCTGAGGGATGAAACTTGAATTTCTCTATCAGTTGGAAATAGGATCCTGGGGGGAACTTTCTGCCGGATTCTTTCCTGACCCTTAGAGTGTTCTGGGGCCCCAGAACACAGGGGCCAGCTCCCAAGCGAAAACCTGCAAATTGGGGGCTGTCTGTTGGAGCCTGATCAGGCTTTTGGGTAGCTCTGAGAAGCCTCAGTTTGTCCATCTGTCCGGTGGGCAAACTCCACTCATTGGGTGGTTTCCAGGATTCAGGAAGCTGATGAACAAGAATGTGTGGCTTCCAGGGGTGTTTGGTTCTTTCTTCTCCCTTCCCCCCATTCTGCCCTTCTGCCTCCCAGATGGGCTGTCACTTCTCCATTCTGGGACGGACTCCATTTGTGCCTGTGGCTGCCAAGTGATAACATCACAGTCATCGTTATTATTACTGTGGCTGTTATCGGTGTTGAGGGGTAATGTTCATCTGGCAGGCCCCAGGCTGAGTTCTTTTGTCAGCATCTTAAACCCCACAGAGTGAGGTGGAGGTTCTGTTAACCCCACCTTACATACAAGCAGGGAAGCTCAGAAAAGACTCATCCATGGCCCAAGAGCACTAGGCTAGCACTTAGTGGAACCCAGCTGGGTGCCCAGCCCTGCCTTGCCTTCCCAGAGGCCTGAAGTTTTGCTCTCAGCGGCATGAATTTCCTCCTTTGCTGCTTTGTCTCTGGCGCCTTGCCTGTTGTCCAGTGTGGCGGAAAGGTGTGGACTTGGGGTCAGCTGCGCCTGGCCTGAGCCTTGGGCTGGGCTGTGGGTCCCGTTTGCATGGTTATCTTCTTGCCTGCCCAGGCTTTCAGTGGGCACACAGCAAAGTTCTGTCCATTTCATTTGCCTTGTGACCTTGCACAGGTAGTTTGGCCTCTCTAAACCTCAGTTTCCCCTTCATCATGGCGACAAGACTGTTGCCATGGTGCAGGGACCTGATACGTTGGAAGTGCTTACTTAACACAGTGTGTGGCACACAGTAGGTTGACATGGACGGGCTGTTATTCACCATGCTGTTCTCATGTCAGCAGCAAAAACTAATCAGGATGAAAGTGCTTTTGAGTTACATGCTGGACTGTATTTAAGTCTTACGAGGCGGACTCTGCTATGACCCCATTTTACAGAGCAGAAAACTGAGGCTCAACTGAGCACTCTTGCTCAAGGCCATTCGGTGAGGAATTCAGGGCTCTAGGTGTGTGTGTGTGGGGGGGCCTGGGGTTTCTTTCCCCTGTCCTCAGTCTGTCTGCCGCTCGCCTTTCTCTCTTACCCACCCACCCACGCAGTCATCTACTGAGCTGGCTCCTCTGGCAACCTCCTCCCAGAAAGCCTGCAATGTGACCTTGGTCGTTAAGAGCATTAGTTCAGGGCCTGAGAACCAGACTTGTAAAAAAGGATTCTCGGGTATGGGTTGCTCAAACAGAGCTATCTTCTTTTTATTTCTGGAGTGTGGGTAAGGTCTCTTAGCTACCAAGCCCTGCTGTAGGGGGTGGCAGGCGGGCCTCATTTTGAATGAGGACCTGTTTGCTTCTTTGCACTCTGGACCTTTACAGTGGACATTTTGGCTAGTTTCAAGGGACAAATGAGAGCGCATGTCAAGGGCCTGTGCCTGGGGCTCAGCACGGGCTGCTCTGCTTCATTGCCTCTTTCTTGTTGGTTTTCTAAGAATGTGGTCCAAGTGAGGATGGCCCAGTTAGCTCAGCCTATACCAGTGGTGGCAGATTGGCAGCCCTGGGGTGCTGAGGCCTGCTTGCTGGTCTTTTGTTTCACCTGCACAGCGTTTATAAAATCTTTTGTTTTTAATTAACTGCCAGTAGTTAAGTTTTACATCAGAATTCAGATTTTGGCAGTGCTTAGCAGACACTCACAGGTCTTTCTAGAATTTAGTGCTGTAATACGTGGGCTCCAGGCCTTCAGTCTGGCTCCAGCATGTTTGGTTGTGTGACTTTGGCTAGGTGGACTCAGGTTCCTTTTCTATAAAATGGGGTAATAGCTAGACCCTCCCCAGGGGGACTGCTTGAGTTAATGGGTGTCGAGTGCATTGACTCTATCCCCACGGCCATTTTTTTTTAATCCCCTCTGACAATTTATAATTGTCGTTATAATCATATTCTGGCCTCCCTGGGCCCAAGTCTTGGTTGGCACCAAGTCTTTGGATCTCAGAAGCAGCAGCCACTGGCTGCCAGGTCAGACGAGGAGTGGCCACGTGAGCTGCCACACTCCTCACTACTCCCTAGTACTCTCCCAGCCTCAGTTTACATTTGCCTGGAGACTACTGGCCCTGGAAACCTGAGTTTAAAACCCTTGGCTTGTCCACCCGATACCAGCATGTGGCCCTGAGGAGGA